GATTTTCAATTCCACGGTGATCATATCTTTTAACTAAAATATGAAAATAAATACTTCTCATGAAAAGTGATATTTTCTCATTCGTCATATTGAATGGTTTTCTGAGAAATCAGGTTAACCTGTACAGTAATTAATGACATTCTGAGGATGAATATCAATAAAGTCAAGAAAGTCTCGCTTGGAGATATTTTCATGTACGCTCATAATTTTAGTATTGAAAAGACAGCTGAATTTTGAACTTAACGATGTTGAGCATTGCACATTTCTCCTTCATGCCAAATCCCTTCTGCAAGCGGCTTAAAACTGACGTAAAATCTTTATCTGAAACCGTCCTCATACCGAGTTCAAAACACCATCTTTCTGTGGACTTTTCATTTCCATTGTGATAAACTGCACCGGTAACCGGTACAATTACCATTGTGTCTGATATTTCCGCAGATTGAGCTTGAATTCCCTCTGTTTCCGTTGCCATTTTTTTTTTTCATAAATGGTAAGCGTTTCTAGACATTGAACACCAAAGGAAAAATTACCATAAAAATAGCGGTCGACCCGAAGGAATTCTGGTCAATAGTCTATTCTCCCAGGTTGCCACGCGTTCCAAACTCGTCCCCAGTCGTCACCAGTTCATTTGTGAAGATTAGTCGCCAGGCTTAGTCGTCGGAAATGCGTGAAATTACAGAAATGTCGGAAAGGTCTTCATAAACAGCTAAAGGAAATCTCTCCAAAAGTTAGAAAATGGTCGAAAGTCAATGTTTCCTTGTTCCCGAATATACCTAAACAGTTCCCTTGTTCCCTAAAAGTTATTTTAAAATATCCCCTTGTTCCCTAAAAGTAAATGGCTATGTTCCCTTGTTCCCTAAAAGTAAATGGCTATGTTCCCTTGTTCCTAAAACCCCTGGGTGGCCCTCTCTTATCTAAGATACAGAAAGCGATCGTCGACTTAAAGTGCTATTGAGACGAAAATTGATGTTCTTCAAAACAAATTTTTTATGCCGATAATTTAAGTTTAGATCCTAGACAAATAGAAAAAATACTATTCGCGGCAAGGAAGGTCGGAAAAAATTTTGATTAAAACTCACTTAATTTCGTCCGCCATTGCTCAAACTACAACTACTGAGCCAACGATAATTTTCTCAGGATCTTGCTAGAAAATCGTCGCTGTTCTTTATTTTAAACGACAGTAATGGTTCTGTTTCTTCCGATGAGGGTTCTATGAAGGACTGTTGTAGTGTTGAGGAAAATTATTGGATATGTAGTAGTAGTAGTAGTAGTAGTAGTAGTAGTAATAGTGAACTTTATTTATGTGTCGTGAAAAGCTAGCGCATAGCACTAATTGGGGACACAGGGTAAAAGCTTTAAAAATAAGAAATCTGCAACGTATTTACAGAATTATTTACCCAACCTATTAACAGTTAAAATTATTTATCAATGTCCTAGAGTTAAAAATCAACTATTACAGAGCGCACATTTTTTGCATCCATCATCAATCATGACAGTCATGTCCGTTCTCCTGATTTTGCTCTTAAATAGATATATCGCGCTCTGTGCGACGAAGAAGTGGAGCCACGTGCAACCGAGGAAGAGGCCGTCGCTTTTTGCATCCTCGAGCTCGGAGACCCAGGGGCTGCGAGTCGATTTCAAGTTCAGGGCAGAAGAGCCCCTGGGGAAATTGTCTTACAAGACTAGTTCCAAACGGTAGCAGTCGTTCTGGCGTCTGATTGGTGCCAGAAAATCTTTGTGTTTTTCTGCCGAATCAGAGTGAAGTGTCCTTTGGAGTCCTTTCGTGTGTTTTAACACGCAGATATACCACAAGCTCTGTTGCTCTCTATGTTTGTGTGGGCCGTGCGATGAAGCTTTGCCCTAGGAGAAAAGTTTCAGTCACAACAAATTGTACAAAAATTCCAAAAAGATTTAAGCTTACATCTCATCTAACGTTTAAAGCGACATATCAATGCCTGCAGCCATTATGTTTTATACGAACCTCGCAAACTTTTAAACTCGTTCTCTTGTGATACCTGCGAAAGTATTCAGTATAATTTCCGGTAAGATTTCGCGGACAATCTGATCGAATTTTTCTTACATTGTGTGCTGAGACTGAAACTTTTCACCTAGGGCAAAGCTTCATCGCACGGCCCAGACAAACATAGCGAGTAACAGAGCTTGTTGTACATGTGCGAGTTAAAACACACGAAAGGACTCCAAAGGACACTTCACTCTGATTGGGCAGAAAAACGCAAAGATCTTCTGGCACCAATCACGGATGCCAGAACGAATGCGACCGTTTGGAACTAGTCTTGTAAGACAATGTCCCCAGGGGCTCTCCTGCCCTTAACTTGAAATCGACTCACAGCCCCTGGGTGTCCGAGGATGTCGCTTTTGAGGAAAACATTTAAACGTGGCTAGTGAAAGAAATGAGGGAGCTAGAGCTTCAAAAGCGGCTTACTGGTGACGCAGAAGTTCATAATACAAATTTTCGCACATATGTTCTTAGTTAAGCTTTCGTAGCATGATAAAAATATCTCTTGAAAGGCTATATTTATTGTTTTAAAGTGTCTTCGAGCAGTACTCTTCCAGCCAGTTTAGCCTTGTTCTTAATTCGCTGGAAGTTCAGATCTTTCCCCTTTGTCGTGCAATGCCTTTAGGCCGTTATGCAACGCTTTTCCTAGCGAAACTGTGGTATACCATGGCTTCGAAGAAAATCTGGCTGTTTATTTCTATGAATTGTGTTTTACTTACTACACATTACTATGGACTCGTGTTTGTGCAGCTTTTCATCTTCGGAAAAAAATCAGAATGCTGATAAACTTTTACAAAGGACTACTCTTTGTTATTCTCATGGAACGAAAGTATTTTGTCCACACTGTTACTGTGACACCCAAAAACTGTGAACTCCAGAAATACATGTACTTATGTAATGTTCAAGACAACTAATCAGCAGCAGTAGGGAGTTTGCTTACTCCTGAATTTTGTGATGAACTACACACAACTGTCCTGTGAGAATCAAATCAAAGTGTTTGTAGATTTCTTAGTTTCGCACAAGGCTCGACATCAACGGCTGCCCGCTTGCCCGGGGCAACTAAAAATTACATAGGGGCAACTAAGTTTCAGAACCCAGTTGCCCGATCGGGCAACTGAAAATTTTTGTGAAAGTTGTAGGTTATCATGAAAAACTAAAAAACTTTACTTCAGCAATTGATAAATTAAAAGGAATGAGGTGCGGGATATCCTTTAAAAAAGTACTTTCGTGTGCGTTTCTCAGCTCGCTCTTTTTTTCTTTCCCATGTTAACTATGGCGTTTCGTTGCGGACAAAAATAATTCTAAAACAATAGAATTGACTTACTTGGAGAAATAAACAGTGAGATTAAAAGTGTGTGGTCGAATAAATAGAGCTTTACTTCAAATAAAAAAAAATGGTCCACGACAATAAAAAATGTGGTTTTAGGTTTAAAAATTGACGAGAAAATATGGCCAACGAAAAAGTGCAGTGGAGCGGAAAAATTAACA